TCGATATCCCTATACCCTTTTTCTTTTGTTTTTGTATTCTTTTATCGTAGTCCTCTATACCTCTATGTTTTTTTTAGTTTGTTTGTTTTTTCTGATTTTGCTTCTTGATGAGTGGGTAGCCACCAGCCGATAAACAACAGGAAAAAAGTCCTTAGTGAGTTAAGAATCCTGAAAGAGGCCAAAATCTACTGAGGCAGATTGCACCTGGTGTATAAAATTACATGAGTGAGTTCTTCATTTGGTTGTATTTACTTTAGTTAGAGATAAATTACTTGTAATTTTGAATAACTTAATCTTAAATAAACAAGAGCAGGATAGCCAAAATTAGGAAAAAAAATATACAATTAAGAACAAATCTAATTTTTGTAAATGGATTCATATATCATAATTACTATCTATATTATATTTTATTTTTAAAAAAAGTAACTTAATGATATTTATATTTAATTATTATAACAAAAAAACTTTTTGTAGGCAAAAGATATCAATGGTAAAAAGGTAAATTCTTATTAAATATCTATATATATATGCGAAACGATATGCAAATAAATAAATAAATTCTATATACATTGTGAGAGAGAGATTTCATAAGGTTGAAATTGAGATAGTTCGTTAATCTAACTAAAATCAGTTAGAATCTGCCAAAACTGCTATAACTACCATATCTACTAGAAATAGCAGCTATAGTATATCTCCAGATTTACCAGAAATAGCTGATATAGCAGAAATAGCAGTTATGGTCATAATGGCAAAAAAGTTAGTAGTTAATTAATACTGTGTAAAAATGTATTTAAGCTCAATCTTATCACTAAAAATAAAAGATAACTCAGTAGAGTTCAAAGTTTAAAATTAAAGAAATTAGAGTATTTAACTTGTGAGTAGTAAGTTCTTTAAATAGAGCATATATTCTACTAATTTCCCCTCAATAAGTGAAATCTGTGATTATGATTAGAAATCGTGACCAAATCCTGTGATTCTTTATAACGAATTTCGTAATTTAGTCTAGAGTTTAATTGACCCTAGTTATTCAGACCAAAACAAACTATGCCTAAATCAAAGCCTACCAGCTAGGGTATAAAAGAAGAATTTATTAGATTTAGTAGATTCTGTTTTAGAGAAAAAGTGACCTTAGTTAGCTTAGTTTTTATTGACATACCATTTTATACTATCATATTTGATAGTAACTGTGAGATGAACTAATCTACTAAATTGACCTTAACATTAAAATGAACTGTTAATAAGTTTGGCACTATACAAAATGGATTTTATCACCCCTCAAATCGAACATCTATCAGTTAAGCTAAAGAATATTAATATCCAGTACCGAAAATCCTAAAACAATAGACAAGGCCAAAGAAGCCTCAACAAGAAATATGATACTCCTATTGTATTAGAAAAGGACATCACGTTAGTATATGCCCTGAAGTAAACAGAACATTACTGGAATGTCTAGAATTGTATGCCATACTTACCGAAGAACAAGCCGCAGAAGTTTAAGCAATAGTTAACTGAACTATTGGTAATCATAATATAGGTGACCCACAAGCTCTGAAACTTTTTGCAGAAATTTTAGAGCATGTTTATCTAAAACATGGTCTGGAGGAAGGAGATGACCAAGAAGAAGTTATATATATACCCCTATATACCTAATTGATCCCAACTAGAAAGAGGATGAAAAGAAAAAGTCTGCTGCTTGCACCTCTAATAGTCTCAATAGCTCCAAGTCCGAAGGTTTACCACCACCATTGTAGTACTAAAATGACCCAACTGCTGAAATAATTGACCTATATCTTGCTCTGGAGGTGGCAACTAAGGTCAGTAATATTGATGCTGAAATTGCTTTAGAAAGTTTAATCAATAGTTATATAGAAACATTGGAAAATTGGATGCCTAAGCCAAAGGAACTTGAAAACCCCAAACCCGCCAATTGTAGATACTGTAATCAAAATGGAATTGGTAATGAAAGGGATGATAATAATGCATTCGTTAATTATCAAAAGACTGCTGATATGAATAATGCTAATAGAACATATCTAGTTGTCTCCTGCTATAAGAAGAAAATTGGAGTCAAAGAAGACAAAAATAAGGAAATAAAGGTTGAAAAAAAACCCCCAGCTGTCCCGAAACATGCAGAAAGCAATAATCTGAATGAGAAGTATAGCCTTGAATTCTACCAGCAAAATAGAATGAGGATTGAAAAAGATGAGTTAAGCTGTTTACCTATTATCAAAAGTCAGTAGATGTTGTTAGTAAGTCAGGATCAAACAGATTGGATTAGAAGAAAGAAAAGGAAATATGAAACTCTTCTATAAGGCTTGAAAACATCAATGATGATGAAACTGTAAATGAAAGTGATGGAATAAATAACAATATATTCCAAAAGTTTCTGAAAAAAGAAACCCTGTGCTGTAAGTATAAAGAATAGCTAAGAAAAGTTGATGAATTCTGAATGACTACATACAAAATAAAGGACCTACTGAAATAAAACTTGATAAAGGAACATTTAAGAGAATTAATGCTAAAAAAGATGAAAATAAGGCATTGGAACTGGACTTGAAATCAGCAGAAGGTTTTGACGAAGCCTGTGAATTCTGGAATGAAAAGGCTAGTAAGTTTAAGAGAATGAATAAAAATAATCAAAAAAGATAAAGAACCCATATCTGATTGATCCTAGAAAGCTTCTGTCTGCTGACATGGGTCTTATTCAAAGCGAAATCAGTGTTAAAAAGGATAAGTATGAAACGTGCATACAACTTGCTAATATGAACTATGGTGATGAAATAAGTATCAGTCAAGATAAAATTTTTGATAAAATACGTCATGAATCTTGCTATCGAAATTATACTGATCTTGAAGTTGAAAGAAAGAAAGTGGATGCCAAGGATATTGATAAAGATG